TGGGGGATGACCTTAACTTTGCCTTGGGGGATGACCTTAACTTTGCCCTGGTCCCCGCCTGGCTCGAGGGCAGCTCTGCGGGTACCGAGGATCCGGGTCTGCGAGTCAATGTTATACCCCAGGGTCAAGAGCCGAAGGAAAACTTTGTAGGTCTGAATGGTCTTTGGAATAAGGTTGTTATTGAGTGTGTTTAGAGTTGGAGGCAGGGCGCTGGAACTAGGTGATCTTTAAGGTCCCTTCCAGCCCAAACCATTCCGTGATTTTTGGCTGTTCCTCACCGAGCCTTTTGAAATGCAAAGATGAACTTCCCACAGGGTGTTGCTTTTCTCTAAAGGCATCTTATAATTAATTACCAGTGTTTCGAAAGGGAAGACGGAGAAGCTTAAGGTTTGTGAGCCCTTCACGAGTACCATAACGCAGTCGTGCCTGTAAAACCAGGGCGTTCCTGGTCGGAAACCTGCTAATGGGTTTGTAGTTCTAGAAACCTACATCTACAGTTGCGGTTGTGGATGTCCTACAAGTGCTCAGAGTGGGGTGGAGTGACTGCTAACTAATTGTGAGGAGAGATTTCTTCTTGATGAGGAGATGAACATCTGGAGTTATCCTGGCATTGTGTCATTCATGATTCATTTCTAGCAGAGATTAGAGGAAAGGTCTGATGCCCTCTTTAGGATCTGATGTGCTGATAGTTGCTTAGGTACTGTAATGTTACACCTCCATTCATATGGGAAGTAGACTAGGAAAATGTCTGTTTTCATAGATCTTTCTCTAGCACAGCTCTTGTTCTGGTGTGAAAAAGTCTTTGTTGTCATCACTTAACCTATCTGAATTAATAACTTTAAGTTGTTTAACTTTTTTCTTCCCCTCACCTGATTTTTCCTTCTGGTATCCTGAAATCTGTTACTTTTTAACTCCTTTCTGTTAACCTTTCAGTGAAATACTGTAACCACTCTGCACTGGAGAGGAAGGAGCGTCTTCCTCATCTCTTTAAGAAGATGAAAAGCGTGCTGAGAAAAGAATTTAAGTTGTGGTCCCCTGTTAGAGCTGGAAAACCTGCACCTGTAAGGGTGGGTGTGGCTCACAAAGAGAACTTAACTTGGATCAAGAGGCAGTGAGAGGCTCCAGGCTGCCCAAGGAGTAGCTTGTTGGTGCATGAATTTGGAAGGCAGCTCGATTTTCCCCCTCCACTGCTCTGCAGATCCTGTTGTATGAGCAGAGTGATCCGTTCTTACCCTTAGATAGAGGTTTGGGCATCTCTGTTGTGTAAGAACACAAGGATTGGAATGTTTAGCTGCCCAGGATCTCCAGGTAGTTGTAAGTCCCAGGTGGGCAAAATGATTCTTTGCTCCAACGTGATGCAGCCATGTCTGGACCTGGAACCTTGTGGGAAGGCTGGGAGGTGTAAAGAGTCAAGTATTCCTGATGGGGACTGATTCACGTTTAAAAGCAAGGGGTTTGCAGCAGTAACTGTGAGAAGAGCTGGTAGGAAGTGGGTATAGCCTGCCAGCTGCCTTTTGAGGCTGGTGAACACAGTTACTGTAGGAAGATTTACCATATTCTTGTCTGGTTCTTTCTGTTCTTCATGTAAATGCTTTTTGCATTATGTAGATGATGATAACGTGAGCTCTCAGGTGTTGTACAGAGCCAGCTCTGCAGCTTGTGGGCAGCTTGAGACCTCTTGAGACTGAGCTGAGAGGGGCAGTGCTGCAAGAAATGGTGATTGAATTAGTGATTTGTTGATTGGTGGTGGTGTTTCTCCCCTGTGTGCTGTGAGGCCTGCAAGGAGAATGGGAGACTGTTCTACCAGAGGGACAAACACAGGAAGCTGAGTCCTGGAAACCTCTGATCATGGTCTTATTTCCCTTTTGCAGAAGTACCACCCTCTGTATTCTGAGGAAATCCATCCTTAAACAGTTGATTTTTTCACAAGTGCATGAGTTTTCCTTGCCTGCCTGTAACAGCTCGTCTGTGCTGGTGCACGTACACTGTTCACCAGCAGCCAAACACATCTGCTGCAGAGTTTGTGCCAAGGTGAAAAAATACACTGAGTCTGGAAATGTAGTCACATACATGCCTGTGTGGTTTTCTGAAAAAAAATTTGAACGTTTTCCCTGGTTGTAGCTGTATCTCCAAGAGATTCTTGAGCTGAATTTTCAAGTGGAGTGTCCTGGGATATCATTTGGTAGCCAAAGTAGAACCTCTTTGTGCCCTTCTTGTTAATTTAGAATTTTGTTTTCATCCTGCTTGCAGTGCTTCAGGTGTTCCCTGCTGGCAGCTCTGTCCCCAGCAGTGACCTTTGTCCCTAGCTCAAACCTGATTCTCTTCCTGTTTCTCTGTGGTTTGTGTTGTCTGTCCAAGCAGAACACAAGGATCCATTGAGGAAGCTGCTCTTGCAATAACAACTGAAAACTTGACGAGTAGGTGCTTGGCTCAGGCAAAATATTGCTGGTGATTCTGGCAAAGCAAACCTGCCAGAGCTCTCAGAAGGCAAGTCTTGCTGTCCAGCTGACTGTCAGAAAGGATTTGCTTTTTGGTCTTTTGAAGGTTTTGCAAAGGCTTAAGTTATTTTAAACACTTCTAAGGTCTGCAGGGAGAAGAGGGAGCTGTGGGGAGATGTTTTAGTAGTGATGGGGAACTTGCTTGGTTACTTTGTTCCTTTACTGCTTGTAGTAAGGGAAAGGAAGTGTGATCCACAGTCACTGACTCACCCAAGTGTGTGCTGAATTTCCCCTATCCTTGCTCTGAGTTCGTAATGTAAGGAAGAAACTCTGACTTTAGTGTGAAGAAGGCTATTTGAATTTATTACTGAAAAATGTAAAGAGTTAATGAGTTTTTTCTGTCATTAATTATCTGCTCTCCTTTTCTGGCCTAGCTGGGTAGCCATGGCAGGTGATGACTGTGTGAGGAAACGCCAGTCTGGCTCCACTGCACCCTGCAAGACCCCTGAGAATGAAGAAACACAGAGGAGACCTGAGAGCGAGAGGTCGTTTCAAAACTCAAGCAATGGTGAGACTCACTGGTTTGGGAGTAGCTGCACCTCTGGCATGTGATCTGCTCTAAGGTGTCCTTTCTAGCTCATGGCTCTGGCCTCTTTGCTCCTTCATTTTGTTTTTTCTGTCTCTGGTGGAGCTCCCTGTGTACCAGCTGCACCCCTTCAGCAGGTGTGGGTTGTTTGGAGTGATGACCTGCAGAACTTTCCCTAGGGAGCTGTGCTGCAGTGCTTGCAGGGATCTAAAAAAGGGATTAATTGTCACAGCGGAAGGAGATGCATTAATGCTGTAAATGGTGCAAATGCCTCTTGGCAGCACTTTTGAGTAATCCTGGTAAATGCTTTTTCTGGGACTTCATCTCACTTCCTTTACAAGCTTTAAGTATGAGGCTTCTCAAGATTGAACAAAATGGTGTTTAACATACCTGACAGACAGGTGGAGGTAGGATGGCACAAGGAATGATTCTCTGCTCCTCTGGGGTTCTGTTGGTGTCAGGATGGCTCCCTTCTATCCAGTCAACCTTGGCTGCCAGAAAACAGAACAGTAAACAGTTGGGTTTGTATTCATTTGTTCTGTGGTCACCTTAAAAGTTATGTGGCTTGTAGTTGACTTTGTGGAAGGGTCACTGCTGCCATGCCCTGTCCCATGGGTTGCAGGGACAGTTTTGTGGCACAATAAGTGGTTTTGCCTGTGGACTCTGTGACTGTCTGTAATTCCTGGTTTATGCTGTACCACATTCCAGCCCAGTGATAAGGAGGTCAGCATTGAAATTGCAGCTTGTTTCCTTTCTCTTTGGGACACAGATTAAGCAAATAGCTAAAGTAGTTTATCACAATGTGCCATGTGAGTATAAGCTCCAAAACCCTGATGCCACTGACTCAAGGAGATAATTCTTACTGATATGCTTCTGAATATTGTCACTATTTCATAGTACTCCTTTCAACTGAAACAGGAGTTGGAGCAAGTTTAAGTTTAGGACAAGTTAGATTTCTTCTTGCAAAAAAATACATTGGAGAGAGCACAAACTGCTTGGAGAACTGGGATTTTAAGCTGATGGTAGTACAGTAATTTTAATTGGATCAAATGGGACTGTTTTAGAAAATTGCAGGGAGTTGGTGGCTACTGAAAAACAGTCATGATGGGTTTAGAAGTAGACTAGTACCTTTTTAACCTTTTTTTATGTATGGAAACTCCTTAACTGTTATGAATGAATTTGAGTTCTTGCAAGGTTTTGGGTGAATAATAAATATAGAAGTGATAACTAGTGCTTGATCCGTGGGTGTGCCTGTCTTTAAAGATCTGTCCTTTCAACACCTCTTGAGATGTGGCAAAACACCACTGGATGTGAGATACTGTGAGTGTGTAGCAAGTAAACATCCTGGGGTAGATCTCTTGAAAGTGTGCTGAGCTCTCCTATGTGTCTGGTGGGTTGGCTTGGAACAGTGCAGTGTGCTTTTAATCCTTGTACAAACTGCAGTGAAGGGCAGCAGGGAGGAATCCTGGTTAGTTAAGACCAGGTGCATTTTACCTGCCAGCGTTGCTGCCAGTTGAGAAGAGGTGTCACAAAGTGTCACTGGTTTTTGCAGGCTCTTTGCTCAGCACAGTGATGGGGACAACAGGATTAACACAAGGAGGTAGGAGGCATGAATCTGATGCCTTGAGGCATGGGAGGAAGATACATCCCTCTCGTCAGAAATTCCTCTGTACAATGGGGTTAAATCAGCATCTCTATGACCCAAAGGTTGCAGCTTTATGAAGTGTGGCCTCTTCATAGTGGCCCTTTCTGTGAAAGCAGGGCTGAGGTGGGAGAATTTCTCAAAAGAAGCAGCCATAGATGGTTTTTCTCTTTCTTTTGTCCTGGCTCTTCACGTCTGAATAGCTGTTTCTAAGGCATTAGTGCTGATGTGTACAAAGGCAGTGTGTGGCTAATGATCTGCTGTCTGGCAACAGCCTTTTTATACTGTAGCATCTTAACGCTGAGTGTTGTGGAGAATTTTAGACAAGATGCATATTTGTTGCAGTCAAGGGATTCCAGCCAGGTCAAGAATGTATGAAAGTAAGTATTGTAGCATCTTTGTGGCAGTTATTTCTGTAGAAAGACAAAATCACTAACGTGATTACCCAGCCTTGATCCTCTCTGATTATAGCAAGCACAATCTGCTTTTTAACTGAAGAGTTAATGTGTCAAGGGCCAATTGACTTGTTTCCAGAAGTGTGTGAACTTTCTACAGAAACTTCTGGACCTCTAACCCTTTCTTCATTAACTCAAATGCTTTGGCTGATATTAAATTGCTAAGAGGAATAGTTTTAATATATGTATTGGCTTTAGAGCTACATTAGGTCTGCCTCTTCCATTGATATAGTTGAGGTTACTTTTTTTCTTGCCTCATCAATGCTTCTGAAGGCTGTCTCCTTGCTTGGCTTCCAAGAGTGAAGAGTTTGTACTCAGGTACACCCAGTTTTTTAGCAGTATTGTTTCTATTTTGTAATTATTCAGCCTGTAATTTCACTTTGACAGAGTAGCTGAACTTCAGTCTGATGTATCACTTCTCCTTTAATTGGCTCCAGTGTTGTAATTAAACAGCTAATTTGGTCCTGGCATAGAGTCAGCAGATGATCTGGGTGGCAATAATCCCCTGTCAAAAGCCAGGCCTCCTTAATAAAATTAGTTTTACATGTTTTCAGCTGGAGATACATAAATATCAGGCTGTTCTGCCTAATAGGATGTTGGTATCAGGCAGTACTGGTTGGACGAAAACTCCCCTGGAATGAGCGTAATAGAAACTGCATGGGCACATCTAAAAAGGTTAGAGAGGACATGGATTCTCAGTGTGCATTCAGAGTTCTCTGAGATGCTCAGATTAGTCATTCAGAACAGTAAAATGGTGGTTTTGGGGTCTGTCCTTGTTTCCCCAGAAATCAGGAAAGGATTAGAAGTGTCTCTGGAGGCTCATCTGCAAACAAGCAACGTGGCAAAGCTGTTTGGTGTGAGTAAGGCTGTTTGGTAATGCTGATCTTAAAAAGGAGTTATCTTCCCATGGAGAGGTTACTATCGATCATTCTCGGTGCAAAAGTTCATGGTGATGCACGAGTTGCATGTGCCCACTGATGGAGGAGGAGGAGGGAACTCTCAGAGCAATTTGGAAAGCTTTAGCCTTTGCTGTCTGACTCACAGTAGTAAGTGTTCAGTGTATGAACAGGCTTTTTCTTGCAGGTTAATGAATTTGGGATTAAGCTGCTTGAATTGAGTGTCTTGGATGTGTTTCTGAGAGACGGATCGAACAGAGCTGTTCTGTCTCGCTGGGTTCTGGCAATTTTGTGCTCTCGTGTTTTGGAACCTGTGGATTAGGTGAAGGCTCAGCAGTTTTTTCTGAGGAGCCTGTAGACATGGTAGCATGATATAGAGAATGCAGATGTTTCTTCCTGCTAGTGAAGAGGCTGTTTCTGTCCCATGTACCTTCAGAAGTGACTTTTTAAGCTCAGTACCTTGTCCAGCTGCAGTTCAGTGTCCTATGGCTTGTGCATTCTTTAAATTGGTCACCTGAGTCTAATGATGACTTGCCTCTATCTGCTGAGTGGCCAAAAAAATTACCATAATTAAGAATAAGGCTCATTAGCATCAAATTATTAATGTGGGTTGTACCAGAAATGGAACTCCTCCCCTCTTTACAGTAGCCTTGCACTAGGTTGGCTTTAACACTGCCTTGCTTCAGGTAACATCTTTAGTGTTTTTGGAGAGGAAGCCTTTAAATCCAGGTGTCAGTAATGAAATCCTTCTGCCTATGTTGCTTTAACCTTTTGAATGGTCGATTTCCTGATCAAGAAATAAGTTGGTTTTTGTTGGATCCCAAGCTGCTGTACCAGTAGATCATGTGAATGGTTTCCTGCTCTAGTCATCTCAAATGTCACTTATATCTGTTACGTGCAAGAGTAGGTTGAAAAAGGGACAATGAGATCCTTTAGGAAAGGTAGTTAGTCAATCTTTTGTGAAACCAGAGTTGCTCAACTTCTCAACAGTTAAGCAGCTTTCTCAATCTTCAGGTGATTTTTTTATTAGCCTGGTTTCCTATGGAAACAAAGTTTACATTCAAATTGCTCATTTGTTTTTTTTCTTCTGATTTTTGAACCTACTTGGATTTTGGGCTGTACAGAGAAGTCAGTCCTATGAGCATCGGTTTCTACAAGCTCAAGACAAGTGGTCAGCTAAAGACCTTGTTAATGTCTTTGCTGGTGGGAAGGCAACACAACTGCTGTTAAAACTTCTCCCCGTGAGCAGAGCTCTTCCAGAGCAAACTCTGTTTCAGTGTCCTGTGAAATTGGCCACTATTTTGTACTAGTCTTCAAAGACAACTTTTTTATCACTTTGAATATATTTCCTGTTTTCTTAAGGCACATCTCAACTTCAAATGCAGAGATGTGCTTGCTTGTATTGTGCAGCCTTAAGTCTATTTTTATAATGCTGTTGGAATCCCAAACTGATATAGAGGGATCCAGTCTTTGTTTTCAGGGTCAAAGGAAAGTGAAGATTTGGATTCTTTAGTAGTGCACACTTCCTTTTAGACTCAGAATCATGTGATGAATCTCTTCTCCAGTGACCTCACAGAACATGAGTGGCAGCTTGCACAACAGAAGATGAGTGATTAAAGAAGATGATGAGTTTGTGTGTTCTCTGGTATCTGCCTTGTGACACAGTTGAGTTTATGGGGCAATGCAACACAGCAGAATGAGTTGGTTTGGAGTTGGTTTTCTTCTACAGGAGATCTTATTCTGGAAAAGATGTGACAAGCTCACAAGGGATTTTACTTTGTTGTATGAGATGCTTATACTGAAGACAGGTCTTGATTTTAAAGCCTTTTAAAAGATGCTGTGTTTGTAGTCTATTCTGTGGTTAAATTGTCAGGAGGGACACTGCATGCAGTTCAGCTGTTACAGCATCAGCAGGTCAGAGACTGGCCTTGTTTCCTGTGCAACCATTAAAGCTGCACATTTGATATAGGTAAAACTTGTAGTCAAAAGGGGTGTTTTATTAATAAATACTATGCCTGGGTAGTTATAATAACTGAGGCTTCAAATGCAAGATCTGACAGGAAATATATGGTCAAAGCAGTGGCTGTTTTATTTTTAGGTTAGCCTACAAAGGAAATACTGCAATCCCTTAAGTCTCACGTGTCCTGTCCACTTTGGCCTTGTTGGGTGGCTTCAAGAAAACTTGATGATAAGAGACACAAATTCTTAGCTTTTTGCAGGGGAAGGTTCATTAAACTCAGCAGCTCTGTCTGATCTAGCAGATCAGCACGAGCTGGTTCTTCACACAGTAGTAACGGGAGGAGAGAAATCTGAATACAATTGTGGAGTGACACGGTGAGGGAGTAGAGTCACTGAGATGATATGAAGGGGATACAGTTCTGCTGCTCGTGGAACAAATTGATTTTTTTTTTTCTTTTCTTTTTTAAAATTTATTGGGTGTGAATCCATTTTAGACCAGCAAAGTGCAGGAACTAAGTGGGTCAAGGGTATCTTAAATTTCTCTCTCAGTTTGTTTTCCAAACTGCTGTTGTTCAGTAAGTGTATCAGCACGATGAGTTTAAGTGCTGAGGTAATTTTTTTTTTTTTGTCTTGGAGCTGAGATGCTTAGCAACTGGGAATTCTATTTTTGGAAAAATATATCTTTGCATGCAGCCAAAATTTGTGGTATTAAGCAGTTTCCTTGTTTGTTGTTACATTAGAGGGCTTCTAAGTAATGGGCAGTTGTTGCTGTTCTTAAGTCTATATTTTGTGTAGTACTTTTTATAGACAAAAAAACATTCTTCCTGCCTGATTGTTGGGAAGGGGAATTAATGCTGACAACTGAGCATAGCTGCATGAGGGTAAAGCTTCTTGTTTTGTTTAACTCCAGTATTCAAATCGGAGTCATTTCTGAAGCAGGTCTCCCTAAACTACTTAAAAGCAGTTGCTCAAAACAGTTGCTCATAAGAGCACCCTGAGAATAGTGAGCATCACAGAAGCACTTGTGTCAATGAAAATGAAACCACATTTTGTGTGCAGGGGCTGTGCCCATACAAGGAGGCCACATTATGCACTGTGATAGTGCATGAATCTGTTTTCCTGCCACACAGCAGCACAACTTTGGCACCTCTTCAGCAAATCTGTGAGCTCATGCTTCCCTGGAATCTTATTAGGGAATCAGTTCAGTACCTTCTTTTTCTAGAAGTGGTTACTGTTGTCTTAGAAACAAGTTGTAATCCCGGCTATGTGTCTGTGTGTGAGATAGTGCTGTAGCTATAATTGCCAAAGGATATGCACAAGGCAAGGTTTCTTGCAATCTTTTCACCCTGAGTGGTATTTTAGGGGGGTGGAGACTGCTGCTTTAGTCTTGCTTTTCCTCCATGTGCAAGACTCTCTGTTTTAAGTAACTTTATCTTCTGTGTTGTTCTTATTGGAGAGGGGAAACACCAGCTGGTGCTTGTCCTAAACCCTGACTAGTCCAAAATGCCTGATCTGTGGGTGCTGTTCCTCTTGATGTAATAGAGACATCTTATGGGTGTGCCAAATAAAGGTGATATTTGAGGCTTTGCCTATATTAGTAATGGTAAAAGATGATATTGATGGCATGTAAGACCTGACTGTTTGCTTGAGTGGTGAAACATATTGAGGAATACAGTCATACCAATATCTAGCACTTCTCCTGGGGGATGAAAGGACTGGGAATATCCAGGTTTGAACACAGGATAATCTTCCAGCTTGCCATTCAGCCTGTCTTAAAGCTGATCACAGTATTTCACTGATAGCCATGACTTGACTGCCTTGTCTGTTGGCAACGTAGAGACCTCCAGACAAACTAACCTTAGTCTGGTGTAAGATAAACTTCTGATAAAAGATCAGCACACTTGGATATGACCTTCTAAGGGTTGCTCTGATTGCTGCTTCAAGGCTGAATATGTTTAGGGACCTTGGGGAAGATTTGCAGAGTTGCTGATGGAAAATAAAGCTTTCAAATATCCAGCATGTTATCAGCTGTTGACTGCCTGACAGTTCTGTGATCCTAAAACACTTGGTCGTAGTTTATGAACTTCCTGCAGCTTTGATTTGAGCTTAGTGGGACCTTATTAGAAGTCAGAAATACTGTCAAAGTTGGTGTCTGAGCTACTGTATGTTGTGCTTTCTGTGTTTTCAGACATGCAGATAAAATTGCAAATGTTAAATGTTTGCCTTCCTCCTTCAGGCCGTGTTGATGTCGACCACGTGATAACAAGGAAAATGCAGCTAATAGCAGAAGCTGAGGTAAATATAATACTTGCTTGTGGGGTGGAGCAGGATAACTGACCCCCAATGTCTTTTGGAGAGTCACTGACCCTGGAACACAAATATCCCTGTTTAGTTGTAGTTTGAGTGCAGTGACTTTTCCACAGCCCTCTTTCTCTGTCCTACTTGGCACAAGAGAGGTAGTGTTTATCCGATGTGGTTCTGTCTTCCTTGACCCCGATAGGTTGAAGTCCAGAGATAAGAATGAACTTTGAGACCTGTAAATAAAATGGAAATTCCCTTACCACTAACTTCTGGCAGTGTGATTATTAGCCAGCCTGCTTGCATATTTGAAATGCTCTGTGTCCTGTTATCCACTGAATAAAGGGTATCCCACAACTTCTGTTGCCTTGGCTGTGGAGATGACCCTCCTGAGCCTTGGTCTCACTCCTGTCAGGGAACAATATCCTCAAGGAAAATAGCACCAGGTGTTTCTGACATCATCTGCATCTGTGTGAGCTGCCATTGTCTTAGATTATATTGAGGTGATTAATGCCCAAATTAAATGAAGTTGGCCAAACAATGAACTGCACCCTCCTTGTTAACCATTGTTTTGTGGCACCCATGTTCCTCAGGGCGAATCGTCCTGCACTCTTGCATCATTTTATTGCAGAGAATTCTGTGGTAAAGATGAAGTAATCTAATTGTTCCAGCTTTTTGTGAATAGGAGGGAGTGGATACTTAGAGAGAAAAATACCTCGCACCTTTGAGATGTTTTCCTATTTAAAAGTCTTTTTTTTTTCTACCTCTATAGGTGGTAATTTATAACAAGTGTAACTAAAGGGGTTCTAAATGTCTTCTGCAAAGGGTGCTTTTTGTGCTAAAACTCCTAAAATTCAACCCATTAGAGGGATAGTCACCTTGGAATTTTATTTTGCATGTTGTGCTCTCCTCTTTATCCTTACTGAGGACATGGGAGATCAAGCCTTGTAACTCTTCTCTGCAGACAAAACAGCCACTGTTAATCACTGTGCTGGCAATGGATGTTTGCAGGAGAAAGCTTTCACTGTTAAGCACATGAAGCTTTGAAAGTTCCAGGGAGCAAGGGGACAACTTGATCTTGGATTTCTTTCTTCAGGAGTGTTCCTTATTTATTTTCTTGTTCCTTTTTTTTTTTTTTCTGGTCACCAGTTTTGAGACACACTAGTTTGCAGACAGAGTGATCTCTTATTTGCAAAGAGAATCCTAAAGAAACAGCGGGTCAGTGGTGCTTTAGTTGCTGAAGTTTCTCCCAAAACAGGGGGAGTTCAGGTTTTAAGCCCTGAGTTAGGCAGCTTGTAGATTTATTTAAGGTGCCTCAAAGCTACAGTAATAGAGGTAAGGTTGAGGAAAAAACCCACCTACTGCAAAATACCTGAGAATTCCTCGAGTGGCAGGCGCCCTTTTGTTGTGTGAACCACTGGACAAAGGCTTGGATTGCAGTTCCTCTTTTCTGTGATAGGTATCTGAGGTCTAGGCAGATACTTGGCTTGTGAAAAGCCTGGTCACTGACAACTCCACAGATATAAATAGGATTTGCAGGAGCTGGAAGTCAGGCACCTTCAGTCCAGTCTGGAAGTCCTTTGCTCATCCTAAACTGAGCTGAGCTCTGTCACCTGGTCAGGGCTGGCTGTTGTCACGTTCCAGTGACCAAAATTACTAAATCTGTTACAATGAGTAAAATGCTGGGGAACTGATGCAACTTTAAGCCACAGGGTTACTTCCTTCAACTTACTCTGACTTCTCATCAATTATTGGCCAGCTTCTGCTTTTTATGGCATAGCATTCTTTTCATGCTTGTTGGTTTGTAATTACAGTTACTGGAGGGTGTCTGTACTCTGGTTGTATTTTATTTAATCTATTGAGAACTCATGCCCTGCTCTCCCAGTCCAAACACCTGCACGTGTTGGTATCAGCCCTGGAGGAGGCAACCTCAGCAGAGTGCCAGCTAAGGGAAAGAGGTACTTCAAGGAAATACCATGTTAAACTCTCGCCAAGAAGAGATTAGGCTGAAAAAAGGGGAGACACTGTGAAAAAAAAAAAAAAAAGACTGTTTTGTTGGGAATGAATAGTGCTTTGTTTGGCATAGGAATTTGAGCACTCCAAGAGGAGCAGGAATTTCTCTTTTGGCTTTTTTAGTAGGGATATGTGCATGCATGCTGTAAAATTAGGCTGTACTAGAGAGCACAACTGTCTTCTGTTACAGGTTGTATTCCCAAGTACTCAATATTTGTTTTTTTTCCTCCTGTTTGTAAAGGAACAAGTCCATATCTCTTGCCTCCCAGAAAAGCAATATCTAAGAGTAGCCAGATCCTAAGAGCTTCTGTTTCATTAAGCACTGGTGAAGCTTATTTATTCTATACTGGAAGCTGCCAAATAGGGGGAAGATGTTTTTTGAAGTTAAATATTAGTCTACTCCTTCCCCTACTGCAGCATTTGTTTCAAGAGATCTCTCTGGATCTGACTACAATGGAACAGGAGGAATGGAGAGTTCTGATCCACCTTGACCTCAGGGTCTTCTGGTTTTATGTGAGCTTACTTCAGATTGTCCTGTATTTTCTGCCGGAGAGTTAAACTTGCTTTCTTAGCTGTTGTTGCACTAGACAGGAGCATTTTGTAAGAGTATGTCATCTGATCATGTATTTTATACAATCATAGAATGGTTTGGGTTGGAAGGGACTTTAAGGACCATCTCATTCCAACCCCCCTGCCATGGGCAGTGACACCTCCCCCTAGACCAGGTTGCTCCAAGCCTCATCCCTGGCCTTGAGCACTTCCAGGGATGGGGCAGCCACAGTCACTCTGTGCCAGTGTCTCAACACCCTCACAGGGAAGAATTTCTTCCTAATATCTAACCTAAATTTCCCTTCTTTCAATTTGTACCCATTCCCTCTTGTCTTGTCACTACAGTTCTGATGAAGAGTCCCTCTCTGACTTCCCTGTGGGCCCCTTCAGATACTGGACAGTTGCTCTGAAGTCTCCCTGGAGCTTCTCTTCTCCAGAAACTTTTACTTTGCAACCTTATGAGAAAGTAGAAAGGAGTGGGGAATTCTGAAGGTGGTCAGAGAAACACATGCGTTTCTTAAGCAGCTGAGCAGTGGGAAAACTAGATGAAATAATACATAATTATCATTAGGAAGACTTGGACCTTGAATCTGGAGGCAAACTGGAAAAATCCAGGCAAAGGATGGTCAGATAAATGTGGCTAGTAGACACTTGCATAAAGAAAACCAAAACCAATATGCAAATTAGGTTTGAAATAAGTTATAAGAATAACTCTTAAACCACTTCACAAATCTCAGGGTCCTCTCTGTATGTAATAAGAGAGTTTGCACCACAACAGAAAGGGATCCAGAGCTCAGTGTAGTACTTTGTGCAGAAATAAGTAACTCTGAACATTTTATCATTAAGTTTCTCCTAAATGCATCAAGTTTTAAAAAAACTGCTTGGGAGATCAGGTCTTTGAAAGTTCATGTTATGAGACTGAATAGCAGATCAAACTATATTGCAGACAGGAAAATACAGGAATTAATTACACATACTAGATTCAGGCGGGACAAAAGGGATATGAAAACATATTGGCATTTTACAATCTGCCTTTTGAAGACGAATTATAGCCTTTATCTGTATAACTTATTATTTGGAGGGTTAAGTAATGTTTTTCTTTCTAGAAATGAAACTCTATCAGGTGAAGCAAGCAGGCTTTGACCAGGATGGCCTGTGCTTTGTCCACAGCTGATTAGCTCCTTTTTTTTTTTTGCACTGTATCAGTGCATTTTGCCAAAAAATGGTGAAGGAGATGCTTATCTCTGGTTTTTCATGCACCTGAAGAAGCCAAGGTCTCTAGTGAACCAGATACTTCAGAAGTTGCCTTTGTTAAAGTGCGAGATGAAAACTATGAATAGGTTATAAGTGGTGCAACTTTGACATAACTTCCTCTTAATAGAGAAGACAACCTGTATAAAGCTGTGAGAAGAAAAGGGAGTGTAGGAGATTGAACTGGAATATTTAATCCCGCGAATTCTCAAATTTGTTGGTTCCCAGTTTTGTGCACTAAGGATATACCTCTGGTTAAAACTGAGAAATACTTTCTGGGACTCATGTTTTAAGTTAACACTAACATATGAGAAACACCTGCCACTGCAGACATGTGTATGAAGATCAGTATGTTTACTTTGTTTCTCTGTGTTGCATCTGATAGAGAAACATAAACGTTTTTCAAAGTCCTGAGGTGTGTGAACAGGCCAGGATGAGCCCCTGATCTTGTCCAAGCAGGCTCCAACTGTTGGCAGGAATGTTTTCTTGTTGCTTTGCCCTGTCTTGCGCCGGGATAAACAGGAATATAAATATTTTATGAAAATCTATCCAGCAAGTTAAACGATTTCGTGCTCTGTTTTTACTCTGTCAGCAACTGAAGCCAGCTTTCATGAAAGAGGTGGACAGTCACTTCACAGAGTTTGTGAACAGCTTGGTGGCAAAATCGGCGCTGCTGGATTCCTCATCTCCAGCCTCCCTCTTCCCAGCTTCCTGCTCAGAGAAGGAATTGCACAAAGCCAAGTAAGACAGTTTTAATTGTTCCTGTAACAAGGTTATGTTTCCTGGAGGCTTTATTTCCTTTTTTATCTCAAATGTTCTCCTCTTTTTTTTGCAGGAACTCAAGGGCCCCTCCAGAACACGGGAAGATCTTTACTGCCAGGAGGTCTCTCTTGGAGTGAGTAACTTAACTTCACATTTTCCATCAAATTGACTGAAAATACCCTTGATAGCAAATTAAAGAGCCTTTGCTTTGGGGTACTTTCCCCACCACCACCCACAGCCTTACATTCAATCCCATGTGGACTAATCTGCTCAGGCTTCTCTGTTTCTTTCTAAAACATCTGTACTACAGCTTGCAGGCTTCCCCAAATGTAAACCTTAATTACAGCCCTCTCAATCCCACTGGGATAATGGCTAATTATCCTTTGTCTGAGGATGAACTGAGGACTGGCACCCAATTTGTACGTTAATTTTCTTCTCTCCCTTAGTGAACTGTTTGAAGTGAGTCACATCAGGACAATCTACCACATGTTCATCGCTCTCCTCATCGTCTTCATCCTCAGTACACTTCTAGTAGACTTCATTGATGAAGGAAGGTAGGAATGCTATGGAAACACAGGGACAAGGGTTGGGAAATGCTTCCAGAGCTCCAGAGGTACAGGAAGTAGCAGAATGGTGCAGAAAGAAGGGGGAATCCTTCCTTTGGGTGTTGTTGGACGGAGGGGTTTCAACTTGACATAGAATATATGCTGGAATTCCTGTTGAGGGGGTATGATCATTTCAAATTGGATAGCTAGATATTAGGAAAATATTACAAATTGATGTATTACATGAGAATTGTGGCCAGCACAGTTTGGCCTAATGTGCTTAGTTCATCACAAGGCTGGCAAAAGGGAATGTGGACTACTTTAGCTGAACATCTCTAATGAGAAGATAGCTTTCAGCTGCTTGTGTTGCTTGAAGAAGGACTCTGTTTAGAGAAACTTTAAATACTTCAGCAGTCCTTCCTCTGTTTAAAAATGACAGCTCTGGAACACTGTACTTGTGCTTAAATAAAAATAGAACTTTGTTTTTCCTGGGGAAAAATCTCAAGGATGTTGGCACAGCCTCTGCTAAGATAGTGCTTTGTAGGTAGCCAGTTGTGGAAAAAAATTGTGAAAGACTGCTTTCCTCACACTTGGTTGTTGCTTAAATAGTGTTTTGGCAAGCTGTATCTCATGTACACAAGGAGGATTATGTGTTTATCTTGCTGATTATCTGCTCTTTGGTGTACAAAACCAGAGCTGTATCTTGATTATAATCAGTCCCCCTTGTCTGGGTATAAGAACAGACTTATATGCCATTGAATGTTTAGCTGATCCTAACTTACTGGTGTATGGACACTGGGGAGAATTGGTATTTACCTCTAAAATCCCTGATTACTTAAAAAAAACCAAACTGCTGTGGCTTTAGTTAGATCTGATCATTTGGATTCAGTTTGCAATTGAGCTACCACATGAGAGCAAATACTTTTTGTTGTTGTACTCTGTGCTATCTCCTCTGATCTTAGTTTAGAAGAGCTGCTTACTGTAGGAGTAAGCTCTGGTGACTGTGATAGTCAAGTTGAACATCTTTTTGTTTATGTCCTTATGTATTAAGCTTGATTAATGGACTGAAGTACCTGGTGCACACCAGTTGGATATATTTGGACTGACCATCTAATGACCCTGAGCCTTTTGGGTAACTTCTAAACTGAATCCATGTGGAATGCCCACAGATCTCACAAAGCAGGATTAAACTAGATTTGAGCGGTGCCTGTTAAAATACCCCATGCCTACAGAGGTGGGGAAAAAGCCTCTTTAGGTGTTAAACTCCTGGGAAGAACTGATTCTCAGTGGCCACATCCTGGGAGTGTTCCCCAAAAGCTCTTTTGGACCCTGGTTCAGCACTGGATCGTTTAGTCACGTGCTTGTTCTTAGCAGGGATGAGCTTGAGCATATTCTTAAAGCACATGCTGATCTTAAAGATGTGCTTAATTAAGCCCTGTGGGGCTTAATTATGTGCCCTGATGGCATGAGTCCTGCATTTATTTTCTGGTATACTTGAGAGTGGTCACTTAAAGCTTGCTATTGCCATGGTCACTTCTATCCCAACTGTCAAACAATTATGATCTGGAAGGTTTGTGTTTTGTAGCCACTTAGTGGACAAGAAGTATTTCTAATCAAACAACGGACACTGAATATTGTGTCTTTCCTTGTGCCTTCTAGGCTGGTCCTAGGATTTGATCTCCTGGTCTTTGTTTTTGGAAAGTTCCCAGTTGTCTTCTGTACTTGGCTGTGCATGTTCAGTGCCACAGTTGTCATTCCATACAACCTTTTCATCTGGTGGGCCCAAGGCTACTGCAGTTCCTCCCATCGTGCAATCCACTCTTTCTTCTATGGGATGTTGTTCACACTCTTCCAAATAGCTGGGCTTGGCTTTGGACCAACCTATGTTGCTGTAGCCTATGCCCTGCCTCCAGCTTCCCGTTTTATTGTCATACTGGAACAGGTAAGTCCCTCCCTTGTATCTTTGGATATATTGAATTTCATTTTCAAAATGGAAAGGGTCCTTTTCCCTAAAATGTTACTTTTATTTGTTAAAGTAAGCCAGGGCTGTGGTTTGAGTTTGTCTGTGACTTGAGAAAGAGTAGATAGTACACTTAATTTTGACCTGGAAACCACTTGTGGGTTTTTACCCTCTATTTAAGATTTTACTGTGTTTTTTTTTTTACTTCTGGGCTGAAATTCCATTTACTTCTAGTTGTCTTGTGGATGCTAAATGCTTAAAACAAATTTTAAGAACACGTTGTGCCATAGTTCACAAGGAAGCTGTAACATTCCTCTTTAAAAAACAAAACCCAAAAAAAGCAAGAACACAGTTGTCAAGTGGTTCCTGTTTCCATTTCTGTTCCCAAGAAACAAATGTCTTTGCTCTGCAGTCAGAACTTCATTGAATGTGGGGTTTTTTTTTTCACAGTGCGGGGGAAGCAGGGGAAGGGTACAAAAGTGATCTGGTCTGACCATCAGGTTAAAAGAAGGATGGTTAGAGATGAGTATAGCTTTAAGAATTAACCTTGGACTGGCCCTCCTTTTGGCTCTTCAGTGTTAAAGCAAAAAAAAAAAACCCTGCTCTGCAGTTGTGCACTATTTAATATGGCACCACCTTATCCCCAGGTAGTGGTAATTGCTGTACAACACATCTGCCTTCAAGGATTTATTTTCAAGACATTGAAACATCCTGGCCTACTGAAATGGATAGGGGGTTTCCCTTTGATTTTAAGTTAATGTTAGCTGGTTAGTGACTTGCTGGTGTTGTTCAGGATCCTTGTGTATGTGGTGATCCTGTGAGAGTAAATTAGATGTTTTGACTCTCCTGAGCTGTGATTGTTACTGCAAGTTTCACTTTGCAGAGTTTTAAATCCATGTCAGTTAAACAGGCTTGTTTGTGGAGGAAGTAACTGTTTACTCCTTCTAGAAGGAATAAATTGCAGAAAAAGGTGTTGAAGGTGTTGCTGTAAAATATCTGATCCAGTCTTTATTGGAAAGTGAGAGTATTGAGCTGCTGATCTCTTGGCCTTCCAGGTCCGTCTTGTTATGAAGGCTTATTCCTTCATCCGGGAGAATGTACCCAGAGTCCTGTCCTCTGTGAAGGACAAGTCCAGTGAGTAACTTGCCCTACTTCATTTTACAGCAAGGCATAGCCAGCTCTAATTTCCCCTGCATTACTTTTAAGCTGCCCTCATGAGCTGGAGAGGTGGGATTTGAATAGGTGACTTGGGATGGGGAGGTCAAAGGGCTCTGCATCATAATTTCAGCCTGAACCTTTTCATTTGGTGTTATGCTATGAACGTGGCTGTTCAGGTCTAAGTCTGGATCTGAAGTCTTTGTTCTATAGACTCCCTATTTCTGCTTTTAGGAGCAAAAAGTATTCGGAGGTTGCCAGCCCACCTCCAGCTTAGTGTTCCAGTTGAAATGACAACAGCTGTAGAATAGAAACTCTTTAAGCAAGACATGCTAGAGCTGAACTGAACCCATGTGTTGATACAGTCCTTACAGCTTCATCTTCCCTAAGAGGAAAGGAAATGTGATACCAAGGTGTTAGCAGCTAGTTAGTTAGTTACCCTCACTTGTTAACTGGGCTTCATGGTGGGGAGACTCCATCTCAAAGGTCTACTTGTTTTATTCTCTGTAAATCCCATCCCTTTAGTTCCAGACTGAGGTTTCTGAGGTGATAAGGGTTCTGTGTTGTGAAAGGGTACTGGGGAGACTGAACTGTCATTAGGCAAAAAGATTGCCAAGTGTTCTTTTTGGTTTTTATTTCCCCCTCTTCCCAGGCACAGTACCTATTCCCAGAATCTCTCAGTACCTGTACTTCCTCTTTGCTCCCACCCTCATCTACAGAGACAACTATCCCAGGTAATGTGAGCAACAACAGAACATGAAAGCAGTCTGAAAACTGAAGCCACCATTAAGCATCCCTGGGTGTGATCAATTAATGAGTGAGAGCTTTCATAAAGATGTGGTTAAACCAGTAACCTGGCAAGGGCAGGGCTTGCTCTTGGAAACTTACTCTGATGCTCATAGTATTTTGACTTTACACTTCTGCTTTTATAAACGCACTTGAAGTGAAGCAAATAAAGAACTTGCTACAGATTATCTAGTGATGGACGGTTCCTGCCAACAGGCTTGTGTGTTTTATGTGGTGATCATAAGCAGCCCTGTCTCGAGTTTGAGGGGAGAGGTTGAAGCCTTTAAAAGTGGGAACTCCCAAACTTTTCTGCACATTGCTGGATTGCACTTTGGCAGTGTGAGGTCAACAGTCCTTTACGTGCCTGTTGGGCAGATCCCCCCCTCCTATGTAACTGTGCAGTGCTGCCCTCCAGATACCTTTCCATTTATGGAATTGCTGTAATTGAAAGCAAGGAACCAGCAGTTTGGGCAGACATCCCCTTAGATGTCAGGAGATGGAGATTTCTGGAATTCAAAACCTGGGTTTTTTCAGAGAATAGGACAGTAAAATCAGTAATTAAAGGGGAGGGGTTTGCTGCTTTGAGGTCCTACTTAGCCATGGTATCATGTGTTCTTTTCCCTAGGAATCCCACGATAAGATGGGGCTACGTAGCCACCAAGTTTGCACAGGTGAGTAGTGCAGCTTTCTGCAGAGTGCACTTTTGGAGATTATGTGAGCTGTGTGGCTCAACAGCTCTCCCTTTGGCATTAAATCTCTCTTTACTTGGTGTGGGCTTACCAGAAAAGAATACCTTTTAGTGACTAAAAACGAAACTGTGATCTTGGTGCACTAGTGGTTGTGTCAAAGAAAGAAAAGAAATTAAAAGTCTTTACCTAAACAAACCTTTAGACTCCATTCCAGATAAAAAAACTGTGTGTGTGTGTGTGTGTAGAGCAATACCCATGCACTGGCCTTCTTTCTTTACCCTGATTGTAGTGCACTGGCACAGCTGCCTCCCTGCAGATACTCAGAGCAATTTGTGAAATAATGAGGCCTGGAGTCCAAACCTCCAGTGCTTATTTGAGCTTAAGGTTGACTGGTTCTTCACATTTGTGGCCATGAGCTTCAAAAGCTTCTTGTGGATGTGTTTCCAAGCAATGGATTTGTGTGACTGAAACCTTTCCTGTCACACAATGTGTTTTTGGTTTAAAATGCAAAACAATGTAGAGGCAAAAAAAAAAGGGGCAGCACAAACAGGCCTTTGGTTGCTTTACTCTTGAACTAAAGAGGGTGACAGAGCACACACCTGCCTTCCAGCAGAGCAGTTAAACACTGACTTGCATTTTGACCTCAGCGTCCAGAACATGGGTTCATGAGCCAGAGAAAGCCTGAAGTGGTTTGGCCTGTAATATCCTTTGGGATGAAAGAAAAGTAAGATTTAATATGACATTTAAGTACACTAAGTATTTTTCAATTATTTCTGCCTTTGTCTTGGACCTAGATCACAGGCTACTTCCCTCACTCTGGCATTGGCACATGTCTTTTGTGTCATAGCTTGTGAGTTGATAGGACTGGGAGGAACTGACAGCTGCTGGATTAGAAAAGACAAGTTGATTTTGCTGCTGGCTGTCAGTGAGCTACTGGGGTTGCTGTGGCTTACTTTGTGCCTGGATCCTTAGGGAGATTTATTGGCAGCAATGTAAAATAAATTATTTTGGCTTGTGTTGGCAGCTGCTGTTCTCTCCTGGAGCTGGCAAGTGGTAATGTGTTAATTGTGTATTTCTCTTATGAAGTCAGACTTCTGGGTATTTTTGTTCCAGGTGCTTGGTTCACTTTTCTATGCCTACTACATCTTTGTGAGACTCTGCATTCCTCAGTTTCACAACAGTAGCCAAGAAACCTTCAATCTTCGAGGGCTGGTCCTGTGCATCTTCAACTCCATTCTGCCAGGTAAGGCCTGAATCCATGAGTGACTGTTGCCTTTGTGGGAGAGGTGGGGGGGAGAAGTACTTCATATGAGATGTATTCATGGCAAGCAGAGATCAGCAAATGAGGTCTTGTGGACAGATTTCAGCCTTACAGTGTTAAACTTCAGAATCAGCAGCACAAAATAAAAGCTGGGCTTTGAATTTAACTGTCTTCAAAGTTGTAGGCTCTGTGGCAGCCTTGCTGTTGCTCTCTGGGTTAAACATGGGCTGGTGTGGTGAGAAACTGGAACACTTTTATGCTACCTGTGCAGAGCAGTAAATCTCATCTGTGCCAGTGCCTGTAAGAACAGCCTTGACTGTGTTACGTGCTCTTGCTTGTTGCTAAGAGAAAACACTACAAAACCAGTCTGCATCTCCCTTGTTTCCAGGTGTACTGATTCTTTTCCTGGTGTTCTTTGCATTCCTGCACTGTTGGCTCAACGCATTTGCCGAGATGCTGCGCTTTGCAGACAGGATGTTCTACAAGGTAAGAACCAGCAGCTGTAGCTTATAAAGCTTCTAAAAAGCATTGTCCTGATGAAAATGAAAGAGGAGGAAACTGAGGATTGTTTTACCAAACAAAACATCCATGGGATTTTGCTTTTGTGCTGTTAAAACTCAAGTTTGTTGCTGTGCTGTAGAAGAGATTTGATTTCTGCTTGGCAATCTGAATTGCTTTAAGGTGCTACACCCTGTGCACGAACAGAACCAGCCACTAGACCTACCCAGTAGCTCCACTAGCACTGTTTTTGTTCTTTTATCACATCAGCCACCTGCAGTTTTGGATAAAACCTAACTTGGTATATTAAAGTAGAATGTTGAAAGTGCGATGGAAAGTGTTATTTTTCATAGCCAAATTGATATGTTAGCTTGGTATTATTCTGTTCAGTATTTTTCAATTTGATATCCTAGAAAAGCCCTGTAGAATGGTTTATACTTAATTAGATTTATAGTTTTTCAACTGTGCTTTCAGGACTGGTGGAATTCCACATCCTATGCAAACTACTACCGAACCTGGAACGTGGTAGTACATGACTGGCTCTATTACTATGCCTACAGGGACTTCCTTTGGGTGAGTAACAAGCAGATGTATTCTTTTGTTAATTAAACACTTAACTACTGGGCAAAACAGTACCTTTGTCAAGGTGCAGCATCCCTGTCCATTTAGAAGCACGAAAATGTCTCACCTCAGCTGTTGTGGGTATCCACTGTGCTTTTTAGAGAGATCCATTGCTCATTTCTAAGTCCTTAATGTGTGCAAAATGTGGGTCTGAGATGTAGGAATGCAGGGATTGATTCAGAACTAGAACTCACATTACACTGTTTTGATGAGCTATATTTCCTGAGTGGGCTCAACCAGAGAACCTATGCAGGAGAGCAGAAAAGTGCCTGAAGAAAACCACCTAAACCCCAAGGTGCTCTGTAAAGTGCTCAGCATTTCATGTGTGCCTCTTGGCTGGAGGAGGCCCTTCTTAGCTCAGGAAAAAAGAATAAATGTTGCAACAAACAAACATAACCCACATCAGAGTAGCTCCTAATACTTGGTATTCTCCTCTCTTCCAGTTTTTTGGTAAGAAGTTCAGAGCAGCAGCTATGCTATCTGTCTTCACTGTATCAGCTGTTGTGCACGAGTATGTCCTGAGCATCTGCTTTGGGTTCTTCTATCCAGTTCTCTTTTGCCTGTTTACATGCTTTGGAGGTAAGTGCCAAGGAAGAGAGTATGAGAGTGGGCTGTGGGTGGTTTGGTTTTGGTTTCTTTAAAGCATATTTTGCCCTTCTGATAATGATCCAGTTGTTCTTTAGGCACTAACACACAGGACTGTTTCTTGTCCCAGTGTGTCCAACTTTTGTGACCTTCAGCTCAGTAGTTATATATCTACATACACACAGAGGATTTTGAAGCTTTGGACTTAAATGAACAAGGTATAAGTGAAGAGGAAGAGAACCCTGTATGATATACTGCTGGTCCTGTGGGACTGCACATAGTTTAATAGCACTGCTTCCTCTTTGCCAAGCTGCAGCTGAATTGCTGTGTGTCAGCAGGTTGTAGGTGTTCCTCTCCAAAGTTATAGTGTAGCTGAATTGCTGTGTGTCAGCAGGTTGTAGGTCTCCCTCTCCACAGTCATAGTGTAAGACAGGTATTACTCTGCTACTACATTGAGGAAGAGCCTATTTAGAAGTTGGAGCTCTGGCATTTCATTTTGGGTTTTGAGGTAGAGGGCTCTAATAATCTCTAGGCCACCTCTGCCATGTCTTGTCACCCATGTAGCACAGATATTGACCCCTAGAGGCACAAGCTGGGCCACCTTGTTGGCAAACAATAGTAGTTGCTCTGTTACCAAGCACAATCAGATTTTCTTGCACTATACTGACCTCATGGAGTGGCCTTGTTGCTCCAGAGGTGACGTAAGAAGATGAAGGGAGGGGAAGATCCAGCGAAATCAGTTGATCTTTGGTTCTTGAGTTTGCCTCTGAACAAGGCTTCTGGTTTCACCTCTTTCCAGTGGTCTTCAACTTCACCCTCAATGACCGTCGGAAAGGGCCCATCTGGAATGTGATCATGTGGACTTCCCTCTTCCTGGGCCAAGGTGTCATCATCTGCCTCTACAGCCAGGAGTGGTATGCACGCCAGTACTGCCCTACGGAAAACGTGAGTGACACACCTTCCCTGTGGGATAACCGAGGGGCTGGCCCTGTCTTGCTGTGGGGACATGGCAGAAGTTACATGGCACGAGGCTTTTCAGCAGTGAGCTGCATCAGTTCTGTAGGACCTGCTCAGCCTACAGGCTCCCTAACAGAAGTGCTTTCAGTAGTACTCTCTCTATGCTGGTAGTATTTCACTGCTTGAAATGGAGGGTGGTTTTCCCACATTTCTGTGGATATAAACCACTATGCTAAACCTCATTTAGGCTGTGGGGATAGAGGTCAGGAGAAACTTTCATGGGAGGCCCACAAAAACTGTGGCTGTTGTCCCTCTCCCAGGCTGGAGTGGGTGGCAGTGAGAAATGGTTGCCTGTAAATGGTCAGTTTAGAGTTTTGTTGGGGTGTTTTCTCTGACTTATAACTCCTTTCCTTGGGTACCAGACTCTGTTTTACATAAAACTTTCTGCTGTACTAGCTGATTTCAGTTTTAACTGAAGGTATCCTCAAGCAACTCCTATTTTAAGTTTGATTCTCCTCAGTTAAGAGTTTGCCATTGTAGATGACTTGGCTTCTTGATACAACATGCTGCTGGGCATGCATTTATCTGATGCATGGGGACTTGTGGCTGTAGCTGCACTTCCAGGCACTGTTTAGTGAGGGTTAGAACAGGGTTGCAGGGTGCAGACATGTGGTTTGATCTTTCCTGCTAGGGAGGTTTGACTTCAGGGGCTCACACCACAGCTGGTGCTGTGGGCCTGTGACTAACTCACTGCTTCTCCATGTTTTGCAGCCCACGTTCCTGGACTATTTAAAGCCACGCTCGTGGTCGTGTCATACGAAGATGTGAAAATGGTGTCCTCTGGCCATGTCGTCACTGAAAAACAGAGTTGTCCTCCAAGTATTTGGACCAGTGATCTAACTCACTACAGACTTTTTCTAAGGGAAGTTGTGCCTCCTGATTATTGGGGAGAAACTGTAATTTTTTTTAAACGTTGCTGGAGCAAACCAGTTGACCTGGGTTGCAACAGACTTCATAGGCAGCATCTATTGCGTGCTGTCCCACTTTGAGCCGTTTCCATGCCAGTAAAACATTGAGCTGAAGGTGGAGTCTACTGGAATCCTACTCATCCAGGGGTCCCCCCAAGTTGCTGCTTTTCTGGACAAGAGGCAAGCTAGTCAGATTTGCTGGTAGCTCATTGTTGGCATCCGTCCATCTTCCTTAGCCATCCCTCTGCAGGTTTTTTTTCTCCCTTTTGGTAACGGGGTGTCTACAAACCTTCTGTTCTTTGTGATCCTGCCTGCCACTGTGACAAGTGGCAGAGCAACAGCGTGTTTGCCTTCTTGCTCTGAAGATAGCCAAAGTATTCCTGGCTGGCTTTGAACTGGGTTCCATGTGTGTTGGCTGCCAACAGATATAAAATGGGCAGAGGGAGAGGGGACTGTCAGTGTGCTTCTGGCTGCGTTGCAGAGTCAGGTTTGGAAGCAGGGCATGGTGTGGGCAGTCTTTATATGACTTTTTACACTGAAAATTTGTGTTTTATCTGTATTCATTTAGTTCCCAACTGTCTTACAGCATTTTTGTTCTCTGAAGGCCCTTGTGACTTGAGGAATAGTTTTTCTTCTTGCTCTTCCTTTCTCCTGCTCTAGATAATCAATTCTTTCAACATGAGTAACTTGTAAAAGAGCTTTTACTTTAATTTGGCAGGTGCTTTAAGGTATATATATGGTTGTTAAGGGGTTCTTTACTAAGAAAGACTTGAAATACTACAAGCCAACTGTAAGAAAATGGGATCAACATTACAGGTACATGGCCCACTCTCATTTGGCCATGTGCAGCTCAGCACCTTGGTGCCACTTGCCCACATGTGTTGCAGCTGCTTCTAATGCTGCTGGGGAATGAAGATCAACTGGTGGAGGAACCTTGACTTTGGTGAAGAGGGTCACCTGCTAGAGATACCTTAACTTTGGTGACAAAGATTTCAGAATTATTCAGATGTTCTTTGTTGGCACTTTTTGGTGACAGTGTTTCCGTACTGACCTACAGCTCTGGGTGTTTGACACCAGCAGTATTGGGACAGCTGATGGACTTGTCTCCCAAACCACTTCAGACGCTCTTTTGGGCTTCTGTTTTTGCTAACCTGAGTCAGAAGTAATTTCATGGGAGAAATTAAACTCTTCCAGGTGTTCAGTCTTCAGTAAGGAGTCCTGCTCTTGAGAAAGGACGTTGTCAGGGCAAATTTGCCAAATACAGTGTTTGCGTGTGTGGCTCTCCTCTGACAATAACTCCTGCTAGAAATTGCTCACTGAAACAGTTGAGGTAATTTCAGAGGAAGAGGGTCACGTATATACTCAAATTTGGTAGTATTAGTTTATAAAATCCTGAGAATTAAATGGATTACTTTATCCTCATTCAGCTTGAGTAATCCTATATCTTTCACCATACCTTTTGTGGGAGGAAAGAACAGAAGTTCTGGAACAACTAAGCTTCCTTATTGAAAAAGACAAAACCCCCACCCTTTGGCTAAGCAGCTTTGTCACCTCCTTGGCATAGGATGAAACTCTGTCCCGTTCTTTTTCATTTGGTGCTCAAAACACAGATTTAACTGCACTCAAGGGGGGTGTGATGGATTAGGGACTTGGCTTGTTGTCTTCTTGCCTGTGTCAGGTCTTGGTACTGTCTCAGTGTTCTCAAAAGGAGACCAAACCCTGGTGGTGGCTCACTTTGTGCCCAATTTTGGTGTTGCCCTCACAGCTGGCACTGTCAAATGCCCAAAAGGAACATCAGCATTTACTGTGTCAGCATCTTCACTGTTTGAAGCCTCGGGGCTTGAGCATCTGGCAAGCAAAAGGCAACCAGAAAGGGATGCTCAGCTGTTGGCACTAGTCTTAGTTTTTGACAAGTTGAGGTTTTTAGCCTTGTAGATCAAGGTATCTGGCAACTGTGCTGTCAGGGCATTAACAATTTGGATTACTTTCAATTCTGTGGGGTTTTTTTAATTGCTTCTGAATGTGGGCTTATTTTCATTTTTCTTAAGAGTGCTGGAGGGGAAATACTAAGTCTTTTGCACGTTGCTCATTTATTTAGTGTCAAGTATACCATGCTGGAGTTTTCTTAGGCTGTGAGTGCCAGACCTAGCAGTCCAGTGTTCTGGTCAATAAGGAGGATGCGAAGGTTCCCACCTGCCCTTTACAAGTACTTAATGTAATATATACTGTTTCCTGTGGTTCTTTCCAACACAAGGACTGTGCAACTTGCTTCCATGGTAACTCCCTCACTTATGAGGTGGGAAGCCTCCAGCATTGGAATGGCAGCCAGTACAGCTGCAGCTCCTTGCTCAGTAACCTCACGAAAATCAGTATTAATACAGCAAATGCAGCCTGGTTTTCATGCAGAAAACAATTTGTTCTTGGGAAGACCAAACCTCTGTGGAGCACTTATGCCTAGTAGGTCCTTTCTGTCGGGGTGTTTGGCTTCCAGCCTCCAGGGTTGAAGCAGTCCTGCATCTGAACTGTGAGCTGTGAGCTCTCCCGTGGCAACCGTCTGAGTACAGCGTGTGCTGTGTGCCATGGTGTGAGCTGGGGCAAATCCCAGTGGATTTTTTCAGGATGGAATGGCATGGATTGCTTGAACCTGATGAAGGGAAACTGAACTGTTGGAGCTTCTGCTGCCAAACACAGAAGGGCTGGAAGGACAGCAGATTCAAGGAGTCCATGGGCTCTGTGGCATCAGGATGATGAGCTGGCTCCCTGTGGTACCTCTGAGCCAGCCCTGGCTCATCCCTTCTCCTGGTGCCTCCAGCCATGGTGCCCCTTCCCTGGTGGTGGCAGAGGACAGCCTAGCCTTGGCCCTGGCCCCAGCCATTCCATGATACACCCTGTACTGTGTTCTGTCACGCACAAGAGCTGTTTATAATCTACTGTATTACAGCAGTTAAAATATATTTTGCTATTAGGGGAGGAAAAAAAATTGCCTTGGCCTATTTTTTCTCTGAGGGTCCTGGTTTGGGGGGAGGAGTTACAGGAGGGCACAGGGGATGGTGATGGGGGTGAAGTAAGATGTGGGTTTGCTCTCCTGGGAAGGTGGCTGCTGTGGGGAGACATTGGGAAGTGCCTTGTGGAGGAAAGGAGGGAGGGAAGCCTGAAGCTGCCCATGCCCAGAGCTCCAGGGAGTCCCTGGCACAGCCACCTCCTGGATGGGGCTGCAAGTGTCCTCTCGCTTTCCAAGGGCAGGGATGGGATAGGGATGGAGCCAGTCATGCTGTGGCAGACTCAAGCCTGGAGGTACCAGGCAGGATCATAGGATAGTAGTGGGGAGGAGACCTCCTTGGCTGGGTGCAGGGGGAGGAACTTTTACACAAGCCCTTCTTCACGTCCTGGAAAGCAGCAGGAAACATCCAAGGGAAATACCAGGTAAGAAGGGTAGTTGGGGGTTCCTGTAAATACCAGGTGAGCAGGGTAGTTGGGGGTTCCTAAGCTGCCTATCAGCCATCACATCCCTGTGAGGGGAAAGGACATCCTTGGAGTGTGGGAGAGGAGCACGGAAGAGGAGTCAATAGATCCTGGAACAGACCTGAGTTTCTATCCTCTCCCAGTTCAATGCACATTAAATTGGAGCAGCTGCCAAACGTATATCATGTGGGTGACTTCTGCCTTTATTTTGGGCCTGAAAAGGATTTGTGTGCCAAGGACTTAATGTGATTATTTTTCCAGCTGTGTACCACATGCTCTTAAGTCTTGTCTGTCCTTAAACTGTAACAGCTACAGAACAAGGCCATCAATCTTCCTGTTCTTTCTGGTGGGAATATCAAGTACTGCCAGAGAGCTGTCAGAGGGAAAACAAAACTTCTGTCGCAACTTTTTTGCGAATTTTTGTATTTCCAAGAAGCCATTTACACAGCAAGACAAGGAACTACCTGCCAAGGTTATTCCTAGATTATACCTACACCCACAAAGATGTATCTGAAGAAAGGTAATTAACCTAATTAGAACCCACAGTACAAGGATACAGCTGATAAGGAGGTCGAAAAGTCTTAATACCATTTGTAAAGAATTGCATGTTTTTGCAAGGCTGGTGAGGGAGAAGGGCTTCAAAAGAGAATTCATAGGGATTGTGAGACTAATGGAAATATCGTATTTATTGTTTTCATTAATAAGATACCTTCAATAATAAAAAGTGATAAGATTATTAATTGGTGACAAATATAATAAAATCTCTGCCCCAGTCCAGATTTATGAAAGCAACAGTTGTGCTTAATGCAGTTTGTAGGTGGAAACCAAGCACCCTTTTGGAGGATGTAGCAAAGCATTGGAGGCTTCTTCCAAAAGGATGCACCAAGTGTCAGGTGTAAGGGGGGTTTTCCCAATAAATAATAATAGCAAAAAAAAAAACCCCAACAACCCATCTTAGCCCTGTGGGGTAAGTACAAATACGGGTTTAATTCTGTTACTAGATTATTCATTACTGCAAATTTCCTTGGCTAAGTATTAAAAGGAAATAAACACCATGCCCACAAATGGAATGCCTGTTCCTGGACCAAAAGCCCATGGAAGGAAGCTGAGAGGGGCCTTGTGGGCACACTCAGTTGGTGAGGACTGGTCAGGTAGGCCGGGCTGGAGGCTGTGGGGTTCTACATCCAACTCTCCAGCTTCCCTCTAACAGCAGGATGCTTCCCTGCATTACCTTTTGCAATTATTTAGGCAAATGCTGGTGTTGTAGGGTATTCCCAACTCTGCAGAAAGCTGATTGTGGCAATCCACAAGAAGGGAAATGGCTTTACAGAGACAAACTGAAGTTCTTTACAGCATCCCTTGGTGTTTCTGCACCTGACAGCTTAGTACAGTCGTGTGGCTTGTGCTTTGTCTCCTGCAGCTGGAAGGTGACTTGTCCTAGGCTTCACTGAAGATCTAACAACCACTAAGTGTGGGATTAGCTGCCTGTGCTCTGGGGTAAGGGAGCAGGCATCTTGTCACAGGTTTTCTCAGCCCCATACTTGTATCATTGGTTTCACTTTCTCTTTCACCAGCAGAATAACTGCTCTTGGAATGGTTCTCTCCCTGCTGCTCTCCAGAGATCCCCAAGCTGAGGGATACCTCAAGGGTGCTTGACCTTCAGGCCTGTTCTTCCTCCCTGGAGTGTAGTTTTGTTCCAGAGGAGGTTTCCAAAGCCTGACCTGTTCCAGTGCTTCTCTCTCCAGCCCAGAGCACTTACAAATCACCAGAGCCCCAGGAGGCTTCAGGGTGAGTATGTTTCCATCTCCTGCCTTTTTCTGTGCAGAATTGCTTTTTCTCTGGGGGTGCATGTGTGTTCTGTGCACAAAAAAAAATTTTGCTGACCACATAGGATAAATTTATCCTACGTTGCATCACTTTCCTGACCACACCATTTGACACAGACCCAAAGTACTGCCTTCTGGTGCCCTGGTGCTGCCATGAAGCCTTTGCTGGGGCTGTTTTGTCCACACTGGTTTCTTCAGCCCCAAGAAATAACAACAGGGAGCTTGTTTAGATAGTCACTCGGCCCTGTCCCACTCCTGGGCATGTTTCTTGCTCAGTAGTGAGAGCCATGTGTGTGCCTTGTGTGCAGGGCTGCCTGCAAAGATCGGCTTTGGCATTATCCTAATTGTTGGAGCAAGTTCAGACACCTGACACCACCCTGTCAGTTTGTTGAGTGCTGGAAGATAGGCAAAGAAGGGATAAGGAGCCCAGGAAAGACAGAACTGGGAACACAGAGCTAGATCTCTTCTGTGGTCTTATCTTACGGCGTGTGGCTGTGTTGCCTGACGTGGCTGGATGAATGGACCAGCTGGACTGTTGGAGTGTGGGCAGAGAGATTTGAGGGAAAAGATGTTTTGGGATTAATAAAAGAGTTGCTAAATGAGTGCTTCTTAGAAACGTCCTTCCAAAGGATGCCACACTGGCAGGGCTGCTCTGTGATCCATGATTAAGAAAAGAAGCTTCTCCTGGTTTTAATGGACTTAGCAGGGAGTAGGTTTACACTTCTTTGTATATAAACGTTGCTTAACAGCACTAGGAAGGGAGGAATGTTTTGTTCTTTGTCAGGTGTCAGATATTTAGGCAATACGGTATTGGCAGGAGACGTGAAAAATGGTCTTTGGCCAGCAACAAGCAATGTGAGATTAATCTGCCTAAAAAACATGATCTCATCCATCTTTTTTGTCCCAGAGGAGGGAGCCCTGGCTGTAAGCCAGGCCTCAGGCTGAGCAGGACAGACCCATGCAGGGCTTAGGCCAGAGTAAGGGAACAGTGGATTACTGTGGGGTGGTGGAAGAACAAGCTCCTCTCCTCCATTCAGAGGTGTCTCTTACCTGTGTGACACTGTGACTGACCAAGAAGCTGAGGGTTTTCTTCCTCAGATTTCTCCCTTAGAGTTTCAACCTTTTCTGGTTGGCAGAAGCTCTTTTTCTGAGGGTCACTGGGATCAGAGAGGGAGCTGTGGTACAGTCCCACCTGCTCTTGAGTGCCATCATTCCAGTGTTTCTCTGGATGTTTCACTAGCTGGGAGAAGGGAGGTCCTCAGACACTGTGTTCTGGTGTTACCCTGATCCTAAAACTCATCAGCTCCCCTGGCACAGCTCAGGGTTGGCTGTTTCCATCTGCTTTCAGATGCAGATTGTTTGTGTTATACTCTGAATCATGTAGAAGGAAAGGTAAAAGCAGTGTGAAAAGCTGCTATATGAGCTTCCCTCTCCTGGCTGCCAAACCTGTGTCCTTTCTGGGAGGGAACCAAGAGTATCTGCACATCTTCCATGTTTTTACGAGAGTGTGTAATGATAGGACAAGGAGAAATGGCTTCAAACTGAAAGAGAGTAGGTTTAGATTTGATATTCGGAAGAAATTCTGCCCTGGGAGGGTGGTGAGGCCCTGGCACAGGTTGCCCAGAGAAGCTGTGGCAACTGGAAGTGTTCAAGGCCAGGTTGGATGAGGCTCTGAGCAACCTGGTCCAGTGGAAGATATCCCTGCCCATTGCAGGGGTTTGGAACAAGATAATCTTTAAGGTCCCTTTCAACCCAAACCATGATTCTATGAAGATTAGAAAACTGAACAAAATCAATGCATTAAGCCTAAAGTAAGGAGATAATTTCTTAGGATCAGGCAGGATTCAGACTTGGCCAGCTGTCCAACAGATTCTTTGAAGTAAAGTAGTTCTTCTGTAACATGTTTGTCAACCAACCAATGTGCCATCATTTCCTATTTCCCCACAATTTTCCCTCTTTACTCCATGTACCCTTTTCTCTACCTCAAACTTTTTTTTGCCAGTTTCCCCTTACTTTTTTTGTGTCTTTCCTCTCTCTCCACATTTCTTCTCCATAAAATCAAAACATATCCAGGCTGGGGTAATTTTGGCCTCTTAGGGGTGAAGCTGCAGTGTCTCTTGGTAGCATACAACCAACACAGAGTCAAGCACTCAGTTCCAGCATCCTCAGGGAGGGTGAGCCACCCTAGTCCTGTCTCAAAGGGTTTGTAAGGACTGTGCAGATCCCTGATACACACATATCCCAAAATAGCTAGGGAAAGGGGAGAATTCCTCTGAGTTGGATCAAAGCAATCACAGCAGTCCCTTTTCCCACCCTCTTGCCCAATGCCTGCAGGACATGGGAGACCTGGCTGATCTGCAGGAAGAAACTGAACAGTTCAGGGAGAGGTTGGGTCATGTTGGAGCAGAATCAGTGTTGGCTCCAGCCAGGAAAAACTGCAAACTGTTTGCAGCAGCCTCAACAAGTGGCTTCAGTACTTTCACAGCAGTGATTGGTGAGTGCCCCAGAGGGACCAGGGGGAGCAGCCACTCTCTCAGCTTGTTGGACCAGCAAAAGCTTGCACTGACTCTCAGGTGCAGTGAGATTTGGTACAATCTGCAAGTTGCATGTCCCTCACAGCTCTGCTCTTCTGCTTGACACGTTTATTTTGATACTCAGGTCCCTCACAGTAACTCCAAAGCAGTGCCGTGGGTTTGTATTGAGGTTCAGTGCAGCGAGGATCGTGCCACCCTGCTGCAAACCAGAGTGTCTTTTTTGCAGCTGTCATGGCTGTAACAGAATCCCTGCATTTATTTTGGTTCATTTTAACTGGAATGTGCAGGCATTGGTGCTCCAAAAGAGCATTCAATTCCCTCCTGTACAGATATGAGACTGAGACACATAAGGTTTCAAACTCAGTCTTTTTCTGTGTTCAGGTGATTATATTTTGCAAGACTTTTGTTAGTTCACTGTGATATGTTAAATAAAACAAAGCATACATGCAAGCACAAAATGCAGGAATATACACAGTGTGTGCAGTAACAAAATACATCAACCACAGGTTTCAATCATAGAGTTAATAATGTCTGAATTTTCAATATGTGCTTGAATTTGATTTTCATCTTTGCTGGAAGTAATATATTTTCTCAACTGACAGCCAATGTTTGTGTTGTGTTGAGTGAGAGAACAAAAATCCCTGGATGAGTAAGACCTTGTAGTTTTCACTTCTCTTTCAAGTTACAATTTGTATTGCAAACTTGGTACATTTAGACTATATATCAATATATATTTGGGTTTACCTTGGCTACTAAAGGAGTTTTTCCTCAGCTCTTATCCCTTCTTTCCCTCTGTTTTAGCTCCTCCCTGATGATGAAAAGGTACTGGACGAAATCCTACAGGACATCAAGGAGTTGATATATGTAAGGCTTGGGTGGGTTGGACCTATCATCAAGTCGTATCTGCTCAGGAAATTACTGTGTTAGCTGAGCCCCAGTGAGCATCTAAGTCCATCACAAGTGTGAACAAAACCACAGCAGCTCAAATCTTTTGTGCTGAAGCTCAAGTCTACAGATGAGAAGTTATGACTGACCAGTGCCATAGTTCAGTGCATTAACCTCAGTAAAATACTTGAGCACTATCTGACCAACAGCTCTGGTGACTGATAAATTATATTAATCCACAGAAATGCTCAGAATTGACACCAGTAAGTTTTCAGTTTATTTGCTAGCTACTCACTGTGACATATTTATGCACATGGACTCCTCACACTTCTCTTACCTGATTTCCATCAACTTTCCATCGCAGCCAAAGGATGGTCCGACTTTTGGGGGCATGTCAGGCTTGCTGCTCTTCTTTTAGAGACTGAAAGCAGATCCAGAACTGTAGGGAGGCATTGCCTCCACAGCAGCCTTCCCTGGAAGAAATAAACCAAAGGGCACGTGAGCTCGTGGGATTCCAACACCGGGATAAGTGGAGGAATGGTAAGGGAATGGAATGGACTGAACTTTGCAGTTCAGTCTTTCTGTCAGGAAAGCAGCAGGTAATAAAGGACTGATCGACATAATCTGTGCTGGCCTCTTCTAAAGCTGCAGTCTGACCCCTAGGTATGTGCTGGGAATCAAGAGCATTCAAGGGACAAACTCCAAGAAACTTGACTTGCAGTCACAGGTGAAAAGAGTATCTGACATTTTAAATGTGATACAGTGCAAAGAACACGCAGTGCAGATATGACACAGGGAAGTCATATGTTATGTTCAGAGGGAGAGTGGGCGGCTTGTGATCATGTGGATAATTTATGGAAAAGAAAATAAAAGTAAAAGGAAAGGGCAGATGTTTAAAACGTAAAATAAAACATCACTTTGAAGATCATTAACCAGATAACGCTGTCTTGGAGGGTAATACTTTTTTTTATATCTTATCACTTATGCCAACTTATCTTCATCCAGACATTGAATTATCCTGATAATAAAGAATGTAAATAAATGCTTTCTTTGCTGATATAAACTTATCTCCCATGTAAGATAACAAACAATGTTGAGTAATTTGGAACTAACCTTCTCAACCTTTACCCCTGCAAGACCTTGACTCATTCCTGATTTCAGAATTATTTCATCTCTGTTTTTTTAATAATTTTATTTCCTTCTTGCAGACTAAAACCAAACTGAACATGGGCTGTCAGGAACTGCTACTCATGTTTGCTAAGCTGCTTCTCATGTTGTCATCTTATTCTTTCACTCAGGGTTATCCTGTTCTTTCCCCTACATTATCTTATCCATGCTGTATGAGTATTTCTCATTATAAATAAAGAAGAAATGGGGTCAGAATTGCCCAGACACCAGCACAGCAAAAAGTTAACAGCAGATGGTCATGGTCTGAGCACAGGGCTGAGCAGCACAGGGTGGATATCTTATCCAAAATTGCTTCAGCCAGTAAAGTCCAGCAAAAGAAATGTTAGCTCATTTTAATACATACTTTGGGAACTGGGCCACAGGAAAGGTGTTCTCTTGGTCCATCCATCGCAGCATGTTTTGAGTGGCTTGGATTCATTTTTGCATTGTAATGAAATGAATGGCCTTTCAGTAGAAAAAGACAAAGTATCCCTTCTCTTTACAGTGGCTCTTTGGTAAGAAACAGTGAAAATGAAAGAGATTATAAAGAAAAGGTAAGAGACAATACTGAGAACATGGTAATTTTGTCCTGTGAGGCTAGAGCACTCATTTATCTGAAGTGTTCATTATCTTCTGAGATCTAATTACCTCGTCTGAAGCAACATGTGCCAGAAATACAAAGGTTTTGATGACAAGGATGAGAGATGGAGAGAGAACAACGACATATGAGATTACTTCAGCCAGGAGGTGTAAGAAAGGACTTATAGGAAATTTATAAAGTTTGGTTTGAGGTCTTTGCTTGTATTCAGTCTTCCTTGATCACTGTATAAAGCCTTCACAGAGTACTTCCAGTGTGAGAATAAGATGTTTCTTACCGGTCTGGACATCCAGTATTGCACCTCTTCCAATCCAGAGGAGAAGTTAACTAGCTCTACTCCTCAGCCAAACAGTAGGGAAGCCAAGCCAAGCCAGCACCAAAATCACTGAAATATTAAAAAAAAAAATTGTCATCACCATCACCATCACATATTTAACATGTCAACTTTCCCACAGGATGTCACAGAGACCAGGACCTCACCAGGATTTAAATAAAGTTCAATATTTAAATAAAGTTCAACATTGGCTATCAAGAGCAAGCACTGTTACATTTCAAGCATATTCCCCAACAAACAGGGAATATCCATCAGCATGTGCCAGACAACTGAATGAACAAGTAATTTACTACCTTGTCCAGGCACATCTGTGCTTGCTGTATCACCTTCATCTTTGAAGAATGGGATTGTAACTGCAAAGCTGTTTTAAAAAGAATTATATTAAGCCTTTATGCAATGAGGGAGCCAAATATGCCAAGACAAGAAGTCAGGGCTTCAAATTAAGCCCATTTTCTTTCAGCTTGCTTTGTATTCAGTGTTTGCTAAATAGCTCCCTCTTAATTCTAAGTGTAGCCAGTTCCCATGTAGGCTGTTCATCCCTCTTGGCATCCCCCACAGAATCCAGCTTTATTTTTGTTGGCTGAAAGAATTGTAATTAAAGGTTGTATTTTCTTCCCCTGCAGGCACAGCTACGTTTTTGACAGCCTTGGTGAGAAGTATGGAAGACTGGTTATTAATGGTGCAGAAGCTGAAGTGAGGTCCTGGCATGCACAAAGCTGAGCTGCCTGCATTTTATCACCAGATTCCTTTGTGGCTGACCCAGGTGGATGCAGTGATGAGCTTTATAGGCTCCAACCAGTTGCATGAAGCTGAGAGTGATGATAAACCACATTTCCTTTAAGGACAGAGGTGTTAATTGGACCTGGGCTGGCCTTGCACAGAAAACTACACTTGTGAGAAAAGAGAAATGTCCTTTGGTGGAGTCCCTAGCACAGAAAACTGAAAGTGGGATAAACACGATCAACTGAAGCATTAAAATGATTGGTGACTGCCTTTCATCTGCTTTGATTTGGCAATATCTGTGGAAACAGTTGGTGGCTTCAATATCATTCCTGGAACATCCCCATCTCCCTCAGAACTGCCAACTGCTTTGGAAATCTTGACATTTGAAAAAACCCCAAAACGAGTGATTCATTTACAGTCAGATTTCTGGGGGTATATTCCTCTTCATGGTGCTCCATTGTTTTTGGTAAATGTCATCTAGAAATGAATCATTTGCAGAGCACGTGCATAACGTGTCTGTGTGAGATTCCTTGCAAATGCCAGGTCTGCCCACAACTACAGCCTCAGCAAAAAAGCCTGTGTCAGGTTTCCAGTATATGGTGGACTTAGATATGCTGGGTTTGTTGAGTTGGGGAGCAAAAGGTATCTTTGAGACAGGAGATCCCTGGGGCTGATGCACTAGAGGTCACTTTGCTTCCGGGTTTGGGTTTTTTTCAGGGTGGTACCTAGAGAATTCTTTCAGATGATTCAGCAGTGGGTTCTGTCCGTGAATAATGAGGTTCTTAACAAAAAAATTAAGTGCAAGTCTGCTACTGTTAGGGATAAGGGCACTCTATCTAGTATTCAGTCTTTAATTTCCTTCTGGCTGGAGTGCAGTTATGAGGAATGTTTGTTTCTCTTTCGACACTTTCCTCTTTGAGTTGAATTGTGGCTTTTGTCTGCCAGCCAAAGGAGCAGAGGAGAACTCCTAAAAATAGCTGTGATGTCTCCTGTACAGTGCATTAACACAATTTTGTTTCACTTTTAGCAAGCATTTTCTCTGGAATAACACTGATATTTCCTGTTCAGAGAGCTGTTGTGCCTGCTGGCTCTCTGTGGGTTTACTTCTTTTTCCCAGGGTTCTAGATGGTGTGGTGTGTGATTTCTGGTTTGTTGCTGAATTCTGGACATGAGAATGCACCATGTGGCTGATCAGCAGCACATGATCCTAAATAAGAACTGGGAGAAGGATGGATACATAGTAGGAAAAGATGTGTTTGTAATGAATATGGATATAAAAACGGTAAAAACAGGGCAGGGTTTCATTTCAGGCAGGTGCTGGTTCTGCTCTGTGGTAAGGTTCTGCTTCATCCAATATCTGATGGCCTTATTTTGGGTTTCCTTTCATTCTGAATGTCTTGGGCCATTTGAGAGGTACTCATGATAGTTTTCTGCAGGAGCTAAAATTTTTCAGGTCCTGTTAGTGCTTGCAGGGTGCTGTGTGAATGCAGCTGAGCTCTTCCAGGGCCTGCCAGTCCCCTGGAGTGTGGCAGCGACAGCCACACAACGTTGTGCCTCAGTGTGAGGAACACAGTGAAGGTACACCCAAGTGTCTCCATGCAGAATCACACCAAGGTTTGTGTTTGGTCTTAATTTCTTCCATGCCTAAGCAGTATGGCTTGGCCATTCTGAATTGCATTCTCTCATATTTGTTTTGCCTGTGAGCTTGCATTATCCAGGGAAAACCCACCTCATCAGCCTTGCTAATAGAATTGACTGTGCACACTGTACTTATTCTCACACAATGAAGATCAGCATCTCACCCTTTGCTAGCAAACACTGAATTTCAAAATTAATTAAATTTGCAGGGTTTACATAGATGAGCCATGAAATCCTTTGTAGATCTTTTAATAACGCCCCTCTTTGAAACCATAAACGTGTTTTGTAGAGTCAGTCAATCCCACTGGACACCTCAGCTCTCTAAATCTTTCCTTTGGGTATCCTGCCAGCAGCTCCTTAGATTTCAGGTTTTAGCATTAACTTTGCTTCTGTGTTTCAGAAAAACAGAGATCCGTACTCAGACTGCAGAGGAAAGATCTGAGGTCTTGAAGAGAAGCTGGAAGAAGCTCTGCAGAGAATCAAAGAGCTAGAGTGTGAGCTGGAGAAAGATGGGAAAGTCATCCCAGAAGCAACATACAAAGAAAGGCAAGGTCAGGAGAATCAATATTCTGAACCCTGTCACAGACTCAGAGAGTGAAGCACTCTTCAAGGGCACCTCATTCACCTCCTGTTTAGTGCAGAACCCTCCCCTCCTGGGCATGTCCCAGGGTTTTGTCTTGACTCTTTGTCAGAGGTCAACTAAGGAGGCTTTTAACATGATTCTAGATCAGGGCAGAAAGAACTGCTGAATGTGGTCTGCTTTTGAGAGAAACTAATTTTGTTTGATTTTGATATACAACACAGGGTCTACGTCTAGAAGATCATGTAACTGGTGGCATCTGCCTTGTAGGTGAGTTTTCCCTGTTACAGCCAAGAAGATCTGTTTAGGATCACTGATTTTGGAGTAGAAAAGAAATGATGTTCCAGGTCCCTTCACTCTCAGAGGCCACAGGCCTTTTGTTTTTATACCACAGGACACTCTTGCTCCCTCCAGGAGGTATTTGAACACTGCTGACCCACTGATCTTGCCCATACCATGTGGCAGTGAGTTCCTCAGGTCAAAAGTTTGTTGTGGGTGAAAGCACTTCCTTGTGTCCTTTCTCAGCTAGATCCACGAGATATAAAATGTGGAGAAAAAATGGGAATTAAAATTCCTTCCCTTATTCCTCTAGCATATCCTGTCTCTTTGACATCAAAGTGGGAGGAGAGGCCAATTTTTTTGTTAAAGATGTGATATCTTGGGCACATTTTAACTCTGTGATATTTGTAATGGCTTTGGTTTGTTGTTTTGTTTCTCTCTCTTTCAGAAAGATGTTTCCAAGAAAGTGTCTCAGAAGTTGAGGCCTGCCCAAGTCCCAAAGCTGCTACCTCTGGCCAGCCCAAGAGATCCAGAAAAAGCAAATACTGAAGAACAGCAATGCCTGAGTAATGTCCTAGTGCCCATTCATTGTAGTGTTTCACCCCTTACCTACTACCCCAGCATCTCTGTGCCATCTCAGCATTTATGCTGTTCTTCTATTTGCCTTCACCACTTCCACATCTGTCTTGCTTGTCCTCTGCCTCCTCCCACAGTTCTAATATCTATGTCATCCCTGTAATACCACTGCTACCTCAACTTTCTCCTCCCCACAACTCTCTTGCCTGTGCCCCTTCTGTTTGTGCTCATCAATCACTTCTTGCTGCTTTATCTCCTTCTGCCTCATCCCTTTCGGATCATGCAAGTAAGTTGTTTGGACCTCTTCCCTGTCCTCTCAAGGTTTTTTTTCCTCAGTGCCAGCATAGCCTGGCTGTCTATCTGATAATGAGTACCTCCTTCATCTTCTGGATTTCAGATGATCCAAATACCAGCTGCCTGACTGGTTAGGAAGAAAGTGCACAAAAATTGGGATGACTCTGCAATTTGACCCATTCTCAGCTTGGAAGAGCAGGCAGTGAAACTGTCAGGAATTACATCAGCTCAGACAATCCTTGCCAACTCCCTCAGAGTAAATCCTCTTTTGGAAACATATCAATAACCCTTAACTACATTTTTAAATGATGTTCTGCAAGTTTTTTGAACATAACATCTCCTGAAGGTAAAATGACAAGTTTCTGCCAGCTCTGCATATGTAAAAGAGAGAAGATCCTGCTGGAACAAGACATGCTTTTTGGAACTGAGGATGCCCTTAGCTATAATTTGTCTTCCTGTAACCGCAGAAAAGTTAAATGTTTGAAAAAAGCTGTGCCTGGCTTCTGCAGATCACTACTGAGATCTATTACAGACACAGGAGCCATCCTGCCACCCTCTCCTGAGAGGGTTACAGTGGCAGAGTGATGTAGATGTGAGGTTACACCTGGAGCTCCGGTGCTTGTGTGATCACCAAGAAGTTCACAGGTGGGTTTTTCCCACTTCCCAGCCAACTGTAAGGGGGCTGGTTGGCCAGGTGTCCTTGCTGTAAAAAGGCTGGCAAATACTTGTAGAATGAGTATTATGGGAGCTGTGAGTGTTACCAGCAGCTGTGGATAAGGGAAAATTCAAGAGTGAGCAAGTGGCTGAGTAACCCCTGCTAGACAAATGCATGATGGCAACAATTTGGGGGCAACTGGGAGGAAGGCCACAAAGTGCTCTCTATCTTGGCCTCTACCAGCAGCAGGACACTGGTGCTGGGAATGGCTGTGCAGGAAGGTCTGCTTTGAAGCCAGGGGAGACACCACAGGTCCAGTAAAAAGGCAGGAGCACAGCCAACACCCACCCAAAGGGCACCAGGACCAGGCAAAGTGAGTGCAGGGGTATTTTGTTTGACAGTGCTCTAGGTCTTTGCCAAGGGGAAGGACCGCAATGTCTGTAGGTCCCTGGTCATTTCTAACGGCTTTAGTCAGGAAAGATAACTCAGAGTTTTGAGGCTTCTAGGAGTATTGAGAACTCTGTCCATTCTCTGTGCCCGTGTCTCTCAGGCAGCTGCAGCAGGCAAAAGTGTTGCAGTTCCCAAGGCTCTCAGCTGGCCAGTGGTGCCGGATTCCCCCTCGTCACCTCAGTGGGCGTTGGTTAATCGGGTCACCTTAACATTTTTAGGTGCCCGCGAGCTCAGACGTTGTCCTGCCTCACCACCCTGTGGAAGCGAGCAGCAGCACAGCCTGCCTTTCCTCTGCACAGCGGATGTGCCGGGCGGGGAATCACCAGCCTCAAAGGCTGCCCTTTCCTCCTTTTACTTTTCCTCCTACTTTTAAAAGTTAGGGCTAAACATCTTGTTTGCTCGTGTGTGGATGTATTTGCGTGTGAGTGGTGATTGAAATCCCAAATCCAGGACAGCACCACAGACCCAGCTCGTTCCCAGTTTGTTTCCTCCTCGCAGCTGGAGGCACCCACCATCCTGCCTGAGTGCTGAGCTCCTTCCTGTTCCCCCATGGATTTCCAGGCTCCCACTCCCACCCACCCAGCTGTTTGGCTTGGGGGCGGGGGGCATTTAAGTAGATAGAATGTATTTCTGTCCTTCCTGCCAAGGTGATGGGACAAAATGGATCAGACTCTGGGGGCCAGGCTCTAAGGTGTCAGGATGCATCTGGCCCTTGATGGGGAAGGGATGACACCCCCTGTTCCCCCGACCCCCTGCTCACACACCTGCCAGGCCTGCCCCTTATTTTTAACTTTCCAAAACAAGTAGAGGCTTTTTCCACATACAATCCACTTTATATTGCAGGCCTGGGCTGCCTTCCCTCCTGCCTCCAGACCAGGACCTGATGGTGGGCTGCCAATAAACCAGCCCTCTTGCTCCTCTCTGAGCAGGATTGACCAGGAGCAGCGTGGGAGCCGTTTCTGGGACAGCTCTCAGAGCATGGGGGAGTCCTTCTTGTCTTTCAGGCTTTCTGGGAGCTTTGTGGTGTCTGGGAGGAGGCTGCTCACGGCCGCAGGGCTGTGGGCAGCTGGAGAGACCAGGTTCATGGCGTCCAGAGGGAAGGGCAAGATGAAAGCAGCGGGTTTCTCCGCAGTGAGGGAGTGCAGTGCATGGAGGTAACGGAGCTGAGCAGCAGCAGGGGCACTGGACAGGATCTCAGCTGCCATCCGCAGGGACTCGGAAGCTGCCTTTTCCCCCTCTGCAGCGATCACCTGCCAGGCAGGGGAAGAAAGGAGGTTTCTGTGAGTGAGGGGAGTGAGGGAGTTCTGTGACCGGGAGTGAGGTGGCACAGACTGTTACAGAGGGAGGTTGCCACAGCGAAATTCCCTGGGCCGGTGTGATTATAACTTTCTTGCTCTTTGAAGATCAAAGCATGTACTAGACCTCTTGATGCTGCCAAAAGTTTAGGAGCTCATGTCTAACGTGTTTTTACTGGGCCCATCAGAGGTCACACTTGGGCTCCCCTTGCTAGACCCAGCTCTTGAACAGGAATTAAAGAAAACATATCTTCCCAGAGCCATGTGCTTGTGTGGCATGTCCCAGGGACCTCAGATCAGGGCTGGGAAAGGAAGGAGGAATGCTTTGGAAGGAGATGAGAAGTATTCAGAGTTGGCATACCCGCACTTTGGCCTGTCTCTGGGCCTCTGCTTCCACAGCCAGGGACTGCCGGAGCTCAGCAGGCAGCTGCACGTTGTTGCTGTGGCAGGAAAGGAGAGGGATTAGCTGGGCTCTTGGCTCTCCTGGCAGCACTGGATGGTCAATCTGAAGCTTGGAATGGGCTCATCAGTCAGTCTCTGCAGAGCATTCTTTTATGTTCTTTGCTCCCTGGCTGTTCCTCTTTGCGTGCCTGACTTTAGCCTTCTACCTCCATTCCCATCCTTCTCTTTGAGCCTGGTTTTGCAGTGACCAGGACTGCATGATCACTAGGCAGCAGAGACATCTCTCTGTACCTCTGAGGCTCAAAGTTTAAGCTCACTCTGTGAGACAGCAGAGACTCCACTGGGAGACTGCTCTCAAGACAGGCACATGAATGTTCTGGTCACAGATTTATTCATTCACTGCTTGGCTCTCTCTTCCATGTCCCTGTACACGATGATTGAGTCCCACCTTTGTGCACAGACTCCTGAGTGATGAGCCCATCCCTCTCAAAGACCCTGGAGCCTTTGGTCTAGAGTGGGACATGGAGGTTTCAGTGCCTCCTGCACCTCGTGGGCTACCAGAATTGGGTGCAAACCCTGCCTGCAGCAGCAGTGAAATGGTGATGAGATCCCAGCTAAGGATCCTGCCCCGGCTGTCAGTGCAGGAGCAAGAACAGTCTGACATGTGGAAATTTTACATGAGGCTGAAAAGGGCGGGGAAAATAAGAAGGTGAGAGGCGAAACTCTGCCTTCTGCAGAATAGCTGCAGGGAGAGAGACAAAGGCAAAGCAGGAAGAGAAGCAAGCAGCAGCGAGTAGGATGGGTTCTTGCAAAGGGCCAGGGAATTCCCTTCTACTAGCATTTCCTACCTACATTTCTATCCTCTCCACTTTGATCCCCCAGCAGCCTGTGACTGCATCCAAAGCCACCTGTGAAGAGGAATATTTTTAGAGCATGGGGAGAACAGCAGCCCTGGCCTAGACTCCTTACAGGGAGTAAGACAAGGCACAGACATTAATTGCAGGACTGTGAGGCAGATTTATCAGGTTTTGTATGCTACTGTGCAAGACCCCTCAGAAATTAAATTACTGCCCTCACTTCCAATTTGTGTTTACTCTGGGGATTTGGGATGATTTAACTGGAGTCCACAGTGATTCCAAGTCTGGAATCCTTCTTCAAAGCAGTGTCTGTGACTCTGAGGGACTGACCACCCGAACGAGCTTCTTTGCAGAGCCTCAGTTCACCCCTAGCTCTGCTGTCCCCCTCCCCATGGAAGCACCTTGATCTCCTGGCTAATGTTTTTCCTCTCCAGCAGAAGCTCAGAGAAGGCTTGATGTGCCAGGAGGCGCTTCGTGGTGGTCTGCACCAGCAGCTGGATGGCACTGGAGATGCTGGTCAGGGTGGTGAGGAGAAGAGAGGCATTCTCCAGCCGGTAATAGCAGACAGCATCTATCTCCAGAGTAACCATGTCTTTGGTCACCACCTAAGAAGAAGACATTGGAGGAGATGGAGCTGGTTCTGGCAGTCCTAAGGTAGCACAGGAAAGCACACAGTTGAGAGAGTGATGAGGACTAACTGGATGGTTAAGTCATTGTAGCTTCCACCTCTGATACTGACTGATCTTGGGCAAACTATAAATACTCTGGATCTCAGAGGTTACTTTGTGATGGTTTTTTCGAACTTTTCTTCGCAAGGGTGGAGGTTGGAAGCAAAAGATCTAATGTTAAAGAGATACCAAAATTAATATAGAGGGGGGTGTCAGCCATACCTGATGGAAGGGGATCTCTAGGGTTTTGAGGCGGAGGTCTATCTTGTGATACGTGTCCAGACAGGGAAGAAAAAAGAAAAGGCCTGTGGGAGGAAGAGAAAGGCAGCTGATGATCATCAGAACCACAGAAATTGCCTCTCATGCTCTGGAAAACGGGAGGGTTTGGCATGCAGAACTAGAGCATGAAAAAGAGGAGCAACATGGCTGAGGGGAGCCGAGTAAACACCTTACCAGGTCCTTTGGCTCTGCCAGGAAGGAGATGCCCAAGTCTGAAAACAATGGCTCTCTCATACTCCCGCACTACCTGCAGAGGGAAACAAAAGGGAGGCTGGAAAGGAACAAGCAGGACTGGGAAAAGCAGCTTCAGAGGCATGGGAGGAAGTCTGTTCTGGAAAAGCCCTGCAAAGGGAGGACTTCAGCAGGTAAGAACTAGTGGTATCACTTGTCACTGAGTCCCTTTGCCCAGCATTGCTGGCTGAGCTTGTGTGTGAGCATCCCTGAGACAGCCCAAGACCTGGTGAGAGCAGCCCATGCTAGACCCACCAAGGGTTTCCCAGGATGAGGCCAGCATCTTGCTTCCTTAAATTAAAGGAAGTTAAAATTTTAAAATTAAAGGAAGTTAAAATTTTCCATGTTGGTTGTTTCCCTCCATGGGAACCGTGTGTGTGTGTATATATATATATATATATATATATATATACATATAAATCTGACAAAAATTAGAGGAAGAGGGAAAATCTGCTATTAGCTCTGAGATCAATCTCTCTTGAAACATTTTTAATTCAAAACCCATTTACCCAGCTGTTGGTTGCAGTGCAGCCCTCTCTGGCCTGAGAAGGCTGAGGATTATATTTGAAAGTGAATAGACTTGCAATTTGTTTTAAAAAAGAGAAACTTAAGCCCCTGTCTGCTGATATTGCAGCAGGATTACTTGATAGGCAGTGTTTGGACCCCTGTGCAGCCCTGTGCTGTAGCAACATGTGATAAAAGATAAATCAAAATTAATAATGAGTTGAAGAGGTGTAAATAGACCAAAAAAGTTTTATGCTCATGTCCAACACACGCTGAATCAGTGTGTGACATCCACATCAGATACCAGATACCGAGAGAGGCCCCATGGCTATTCTTACCTTCATGCAGAACCAGACAGAAATGGGAAAGGTCATTATGATGAACAGGAAAGACAGGATGGTCAGAAGCCACTCACAGATGCCCAGACCTGGAGACTTTACACCTAGGGAGAAATCCAACATGACTGTGTTAGGAGAGGACTGCTCCCAAAATACTGATAGTCTGACAAGTGCCTGCACACACAAGCTTCAGTGTTGCCCTTTGCCTGGACTTGGTGGATGTGAATCACTTGTCACTCTCTGGAGATGAGTTAAGGAACAATGCCTGGTCCAGGTGGCCAGGAGCTGTGAGGATGGAGGGGCAGATTTTGTCTCCACTTTACCGACAAAAACTGAGCCATGCTTCTCCATAGTTGCTTGACTAGAGGGCAGCCTTTCTCTTGAAGAATTGGGGCTACCAAGCAGTGTTGAAAGGCTTCGAATGGGCAACTTGGCTGAGCTGGGATTCCTGAAACTAATCTGGAAAGATGAGCTAAAAGTAAAGACTGTAAATAAGAGAGAGCTTTCAACATGCACAGCCTGAAGTGCCCTTCCCTATCAGGGCATTTCATGTTGCTTTGGAATAGGATTTTAGTTGCATCTCATCTCCCTAATGCAGCGGGATAAAGCCACTGGTGCCACTGAACTCTCCCTGTGCTCTACAGCAGTCACACCAAGGTGCTGGGGGCTGACTGGGGTGATCAGCCCCAGATGAATACTACCTGTTACATCTCCCCAAAGGGAGTGTGGATCATCTTGCTTTGGCTGCCCTTTGTTGTGCTCCTGTCTGAAGT